CACACACACACACACACACAGAGGCACTGACTCTGAAAGTGAGGGGTAGACAAAGTCGGTCACTTCCCGACTTTGCATGTGTGTCCTGGAATGGAGTACATGACAAGGGAGCAATCGAAGGAATTTTCAGTGACTCTCAGTGAAAAAACGGACTCACCTTGTCGTGGATCGCAATCCAGCAGCTCTCTGCTGAGTTGTGCAGTCTCAATTCTTCCAGTGAGATGACAGAGTCTTTCTTGTTCTCTCCGTCATTGATCCCTGGCACGGCCGCCATTGATGTTGATTTACGTCCTGGATCTTCGTCACACGCTCCCTCAGCCCTCGGCTGTGCGTCGCTGTCTCCCGAATTAACCTCTCCCACGTCTTCTCTTCTCTCTTCCTTTTTCTCTCCCTGCGTCTCCAACGCGCGCTCACCCCCCAACCCCCGCTCCCTAACCACCCGCCGGCTGGCGGGCGGGAGCGCACTACACAACAACCACACCGCGGTAGCGCGAGCTAGCGCACTGCACACAAGCCAAACTGGCGCGAGCGAGCAAATCTTCGGCCGCTCCACCAAAAAGAACCCCCCGCGTAAAGTCGTCAAGTCGTCAAGGCGCTATTTCCATTTGTTCTTTATTCTTTTCTTTATTTCGCGGCCACTGCACGAAAAAGAGCCCCCCCTCCCACCTTTCCCAAAAAAAAAAAAAAAAAAAAAAAAAAGAACCCCCCGCCTCACGGCGTCAAGGTGCTATTTCCATGCCCATTTTTCTTTGGGCCTCGTTGCACCACTCGCCAGCGGCCAACATTTTGATTGCATGTGGACATCATTCTGGTCCAGATGTCTTCGTAATCCTGTCGGATGGCGAGTGGTGCAACTAGCGTCATTTTCTTGTCCTNAACATTTTGATTGCATGTGGACATCATTCTGGTCCAGATGTCTTCGTAATCCTGTCGGATGGCGAGTGGTGCAACTAGCGTCATTTTCTTGTCCTTTTTCTTTTCGTTTCGTTTCGTCAAGTGAACTTCCTCCCGCCGCTTTTTGACCGCCCGCCATCCGCGAACATTTTGATTGCATGTGGACATCATTTTATTCCAGATGCGTTCGAAATCTTGGCGGATGGCGAGGAGTGCAACTAGCGCCATTTTCGTTTTCTTTTCCTTTTCTTTTCGTTTCGTCAAGTGAACTTCCTCCCGCCGCTTGTTGACCGCCCGCCGTCAATTTCTGGAAAGTGCCGCGGCGCGCGCGCTGGAACCAAAAGCCACTCGTCATCCTCTGCCTCGGCGCTCGCCTGTCTGTCAAGCGGCCGTCGACTCCCCAAGAACGCCCTCGAGCTTTCTTTTTTTCTTGTTCTTTTTTGGGAAGCGTCGCCATTTATGATTGCCTGAAAACGACTGATTGAGGGCATCGCCACACCACTCTCGAAATCTGCAAAATGAGAATGAACTTACCCCTAGAACATGGCCAGATTCAACGGCCACATTTTTGTCTTTTTCACATTTCGAGAGTGGCGTGGCGAGGCCCTGAGCCCTCGAGCTGTCTGTTTTTTTGGTTAGGAGGACGGCCTTGAGATATCATCATTGAATTGAACTGGCCCTAGGCAATTCAGAAGTACACGTTGTTCAGGGGAGGAACTCCGCCTCGGACTCCGCCTCAATGCCAAGAGCGGGGGCCAGTCTTCCCTGAATCTGCAGTATTTTACATGTTGTGTTTTGCCTTGGGCACTGGGCCTATAAGTTGAGATATATGCCAAAATGCCCCTAAGAGATGACGGCGGAGCAGAATACCACTCTGACGACAAAAATTGTTTTGCGAAATGCCCCTGGCGTCGGTTGGACCTACCGGGTACTGTCGACCTTCGCAAAATACCCCTACCGGGTACTGTCCACCTTTGCAAAATGTCCCCGTCCTTGACAACTTTTCCCAGGCCCTCTGTACTTTCGTTGTACCCCTAGTGGCCCAGGTCATCTTTGCGTTTTGCCCCCTTGCCGAGAGAGAGAAGGAGTGGGAGTGGCACACTGCGCGCGCGCACACGAGAGACAGAGAGAGAGAGAGAGAGAGAGAGAGAGAGAGAGAGAGAGAGAGAGAGAGAGAGAGAGAGAGAGAGAGAGAGAGNGAGAGAGAGAGAGAGAGAGAGAGAGAGAGAGAGAGAGAGAGAGAGAGAGAGAGAGAGCAGGAGTGGCGAGCAGGAGGATTTCAGAGATCGTGACGTGGCATAGGAGGAGCTGGGGATGGGGAACCTTACCAGGGAGGATGATGGATGACGCTGGCCAACACAACGTAGGATAGCACTAGAAAGTGAGACAAAGGTTTGTATTGCCAAAATAAAAAATAAAAAATGTGAGACAGTGGCAGAGACTTGGAATGAGTTCGAAAGTTTGAATCGCGGAGGCAAACTGCCCCGACTACGGGCCTGGGTATTGCGCAAAGTTGCCCACCCGGTATGGAGGGCAAACAGAGTAAAACAGGGTGGGCCTGACAGGGGCAAAATGCAAAGAATTAGGCCCAAAAGTGCATTCCACTCTACCCACATCTTTTAGTGGCATTTTGGCATATATCTCAACTTATATCCCAAAAAAAAAGAAACACACGTTGTTGTGTTAATTTTGACTGCATCTGGTTTTGAATTTGGGTCTGTATTTCAACAGTTCATTGGGTGTTACAACTGAGCTAGGCCTGTTTGGTGAGCTCTAACTTTTGTGAATTCTTCCCCAAGGGTTATTCAGGTACACCCGAGCTACGCCTGTTGGTGAGCCCCCAACCTTTGCGAATTCTTCACAAAGGGTTACTTTTTCAGGATAGTGCAGGTATTTGCAGTTGATGGGTAACTACCTGAAGTTTTCTTCTTTATTCGCAGCACTAAGGCTGCGGTATGGTAGGCTTCAGCATCCGTGTCAGGGTGGCACATTTTCAGCGGCGGGGGACCAGCACACAAGTGGGTTCTAAGGGGGTGAAAGTTGTTTGGGGACCGGTCCACCGCGTTTTCTCCGTGACGGACTACCTACAGCTATTGCGTTGTCGGACCAAATACCCTTACAAGGGTATTTGGCCATGCTTTTGCATTCGACACAGTGTCGACGTCGGCTACCATGATGGAGCCAGTCTGGAACGGAAAGGGTGTGCACGCTTGAGCGTGACACTAGAAACGAATTCCTCGGCCATTGAGGCCAGGGGCAAATCGGTGAGAAAATTTTGAGAGTGTGCGCGCGTTGTCATGACGCGCGCTGTGATGGTTAAAGATTAGTAGTAATACCCCAGAGTCTCAGACTGAAAAGGCCGAAGGGTTGACCGGGTTAGTATTGTGTCGGGTAGATCTACGACACGCGCACAGAGACTTAATCGTCAGTACATTAGTCATAATAAATTAATATACGCCCCGACCGTATGGCCGGAGCAATTAGAATGGTGTGATCATTGGTTTGCCGTAGCACCCAGATTGTTAGCACATGCTCGAAGGGGTACCTTCCGTCCATTACTCGTATACTGCAAGTGAGGGTGAGACCCTCGCTCAACCTCCCATTTGAAGTGGGACGCACCCCTCCTGGGCAGAAAACTTTCTAGTCGCTCGACCACGCGAGCAAACCGGTGTCTCCTCCCTTTAGGAGGGAAACATCATTACGGACCCTGATATCATTCGAATAGGCATTAGACTCATACTACTTAGGCTGGTATTAGCCTACCTACCGCTACCGGGTGTCTAAAAGTGCCAACTTTTGTCTTCTTCTGACCCTTGTTCCCGGCACGTTTACGTCTACTTGGTGTGGCACCGGCCTGCCTGCTACTTGAGTGTTTCCACCGCCGCAAGCCTCTTTCCCCGCCACTTGAGCGTTTTTTCGGCCGCGATCCTCAATGTCACGGCTATAAGTAAGTGTCGGCCTTCGGGCCTTTAGATTAACCAAGTGCCCGGGGGGCACACACACGCCCAAGCCAACAGGCATGCAGACCGGCATGCGTACGCACTCGCAGACTTGGAAAAGCAGACTCAGGCCACTAAGTGGGCCGAGCCCTCGATCCTCCATATGTACCTGAGCGGCTCCTTTCCTAACTAGAATAGGAACTAGCTCAGTTGGTGTAGGTATAGACTAACAAGCGGGAGACATGGGAATCGAGGCCTATCGCCATTGAGATTAGCTCCTTTTGAAAAACAGAGCCCTGTTTTGTTTTTTTTTTGCCTAGTTTCGATTGGCCAGGACTTGAACCCGCGATCACAGCATTAGGAGTAGTTATAGTTAAGTTGTTTTGCCCGACAGTTGGCACGTCGGGGGAGTTAGTAGTTGAAAATTTCTTTGTTTTCTTTATTTTATTATTATTAGATTCGATTTTAATTTTTAGATTCTTTATATCTATGTGTATTTTTATTTCTTTTATTTTTTTTTTTCCCCGTAGTTACTCTCTACAGATTCGTTTAGTGAATCTGTGTAAGGAAGCACGGCAGATTCACTCTGCCAAGTCTTCTCGACTCAGAAAACGATGTCGAGGACTTGGTCCGCGCGGTTTAGATTGAGTGCTCGTCGGATGATCGCGAACGCACGGGGAGCGACGAAGATGGTCGCGCGGTGGTAGCAGGAGGGGAGACGCGCCGAGGGAAAAGGAGGAAGATTGTGTGGAAGAAGGACGACACGCGGGAGAGAAAAAAAGGGAGGAGTAGTGGTAGGAGAAGACAAAAGAAAAAGAAGAAATAGGAAGGAAGGAGGAGGAGAAGAAGAAGGAGGGAGAAAGGAGAGGAGGAGCCGAAGGAGAGGAAAGAGCGGACGCAATGGGAAACAATGGGCGAGTAGGAGGAGGTGCGCGAACAACTACGGGCTCGCGCGCGACGGGGAAGACTGTGTAATTATCGATCTTGAACGAGGAATGCCTAATAAGCGCGAGTCATCAGCTCGCGCTGACTATGTTCCTGCCCTTTGTAACCACCGCCGTTGCTCCTACCAGTTGAATGGGCCGGTGAAGTGTCTGGATTGCGGTGATCTCGGCGGTTTGCCGCTGGGGGTGCTATGAAAGGTTCATTGAACCTTATCACGGAAGGAGGAGGATAGGAGAAAGAAGAAGAGGAGGAGAGAAGAGGATACTTACCTGACGACGGACGACGACAACGACAGGCTGACGACGGCGACGACAGGCTGACGACGACGACGACAGGCTGACGACGACGACGACAGGCTGACGACGACGACGGCTCGACGACGACGTGGAGTGGGAACGAGAAACAGGTAAGCCTTCAATCTCCTGGCTTACCTCGTGATTCATCGATAGAATAAAACAAAATAAAATAAAAATAAATAAATAAATAAATAAATAAAATAATAAAATAAGATGAATCTACCGCTACAACATGGAAGTATATATCACCGTTTGTGCTCGGCCACCTGTCGCACCGTCGCCCCTACTCACCTGCAGGATGGTCAATCGCGAAGGTGTGTGTGTGTGTGTGTGTGTGTGTGTGTGTGTGTGTGTGTGTGTGTGTGTGTGTGTGTGTGTGTGTGT